TCCCTCCTCCTTCCCTCTCTCCCTTTCTAACCCTCCTCCTCCTCCTCCTCCTTCTCCTCCTCCTCCTCCTCTTGCGTATTTTTCTTTTTTCCTCCTCCTCCTCCTCCTCCTCCTTGCCTCATCCTCCTCTCCGCACCCTCGAGGGTGGTTTGGTGACGGACGAATCGAAATCGATCAAGGGCGGGCCGGACGTTTCGCCTGACATTTCCGTCGCCAAGTATGACCATGAAGCTTCAAAAGTATCAACAGCTTCACGGATGTTGGGCAGGTCGTTTTCAACATGTGGCTCTCGCCTCAACGCCACGCACATTCGTTTCCAAAGATTGCAGGAGCTTCAAAGATTGAGGGCGGGCCGATTTCAAAATGCGACTCTCGCATTAGCGCCGCGCACATTCGTTTTGAACATCTGCTAGAGCTTCACGGACTGACGGCGGGGGGTTTTCAAGATGTGGTTTTCGCCTTCGCGCCGCGCACAATCGTTCAACAAACTTGCAAGAGCTTCAAGGACTGAGGGCAGGTCGTTTTCAGCATTTTGGCTCTCGAATTAGCGCCGCGCACATTCGCCATAACATTTGCAAGAGCTTCACGGGTTCCCGTGGTCAGCGCACAGAAATCGTGTTTTTGGAAGGGCTCGGGTCTGTGAGGGCGAAACAGTTCTGCTGATTCGCTGTGTTAAAGTCCTACGAATGACTTCTGGCACGAATCAGGACCGTGAAGGCGCAACAGTCATGGAATCGTTTCGTTGGAGCCCCGAGAATGGTGTGTTGGCACGCTTCAGGATCTTCAAACGGTTGTCTCCCAACGAAGCAGTTCCTTCAGTGGAAATGAACAATTGTGGGGGCCTATCCAAAAGGATTTTGGAGGGAGGGAGTACTCCAACATCGTTGATGAGCCTTCGGTTTGAAATCTTCCTCCTCCTCCTCCTGCTCGTTCTCCTCCTCCTCCTCCTCCTCCTCCTCCATCCTCCTCCTCCTCCTCCTCCTCCGCCTCCTCCTCCTCCTCCTCTTCCTCCTCCTCCTCCTCCGCCTCCTCCTCCTCCTCCTTCCTTCCTCCTGCCTCCTCTCGCCCCCTCCTCCTCCTCCACTTCCTCCTCCTCCTCCTCCTCCTCCTCCTCCTCCTCCTCCTCCTCCTCCTCCTCCTCCTCCCTCCTCCCTCCTCCCGCCGCGATCCTCCTCCCTCCTCCCTCCTCCCTCCTCCCTCTTCCCTCTGCGACCGCGGCAGGCGCAGCCGGCGCCCCGGCGGCCCTCTTCTTCTCCAGCGCCCTCCGCATCGACTCCTTCAGCGCCGCGGCCCGGCCGGCGCCGGCCGCGGGGGCCGCCATGGGCTCGGTCGGGCAGCCAGCCCGCCGATGGGCTCGGGCGGGGCGAGATGGGGAGAGTGGGGAGGGGGAGACCCAGCCCTGACTCCAGATCCGCCCTACTTTGGCTTTTCCACCTCAAAGATGCGTCGGAAATCCACCTAGAATTTCCCCAAAGTAGGGGGGATCCGGAGTCAGGGAGGGGGAGACCCAGAGATCCAACGCATCGAAAAAGAATCCAGGCGGAGGTTTTTCGCAAATTTCGGCCCCCCCTGACTCCGGATCCGCCCTACTTTGGGGAAATTCGTAAGTAGGGCTTGGAATTTCCGCCCTACTTTTCAACGGGTCGAAAAAGAATCCAACGGATCGAAAAAGAATCCACCCTGACTCCGGATCCGCCCTACTTTGGGGAAATTCGCAAGTGGGGCCTGGAATTTCCACCTCACTTTTCAAGCCCCGCTGCGGCCAATTTTCCGCCCTCGGGGGAGACCCAGAGATCCAACGCATCGAAAAAGCGTGGGGAGCCCTGACTCCAGATCCGCCCTACTTTGGCTTTTTTCCCACCTTTAAATTGCGTCGGAAATCCACCTAGAAGAAGCCGAAAAAGTGGGGCGGAACTTTCTGCACCCAACATAAACTAGGGCGGAAATCCACGGAAGCAGGGCGGAAACAGCAACAGCAAAGTAGGGCGGAAATTGGCATCAGCGGGGCTTGAAAAGTAATTAAGGCGGCAATTCCAAGCCCTACTTACGAATTTCCCCAAAGCAGGGCGGATCCGGAGTCAGGGAGGGGGAGACCCAGAGATCCCACGCATCGAAAAAGAGTCCAGGCGGAGGTTTCTCGCAGATTTCGGCCCCGTGCGTGCCCTCGCCGGACTTCGGGACCGTCAAAAAAACGATTCGGGGTGGGGAAAATGAGTGAAAATCAGGTGTTTGGTGTTGCTTGCTGGGGGAATGGGGTCGAGGGACTTCCGGGACCCCCGTAGTGAAAAAATTCACGAGTCGAGTAGGGGGGGAGAGAGTGAGAGAGAAGGTGGGAGGAGAAGAAAAAGGTAGAAGAGGAGAAGGGGGAAATGAGATAAGAAGGGGGAGAGGGGGGAGGAGGGGGGAAAGAGGGGGAAGAGGGGGGGGAGAAGGGGAGAGGGAGGAGGGAGGAGGGAGGAGGTGAGGGGGAGGTGGGGAGTAGGGGGGGGAGGGGAGGGGTGAGAAAGGGTGGAGGGGGAAGAGGGAGCGAGAGGGGGTGTGGGAGAAGGGCGGGGGGAGGGGGAGGAAGGAGGGCAAGCTAGGTGCGCTCGCGGCGTATCTGACGTCCTACCCCTCCCTTGAACGAAGGATTGCAAAAAAACGAAGGATTGCAAAAAAACGAAGGATTGCAAAAACCCTTGAACGAAGGATTGCAAAAACGAAGGGTTTTTGTTGCAATCCTTAGTTTTTTTGCAATGCTCCATCCTTTACCATGGCGTAGGTCTCCTCTCTATTCACACAGTCGGATGTCGCAGCAGGGCATGGCATTACATGGCATAGCATGGTGCTGAAGATCAACGCGTAGCCTGACATAGCTTGGCGTGGCGACGCCCCACGGTGGTGGGCTTCTGCGACCCAAACAGTCAACGAACCGACACCGACTGTGTAATCACTTCCGATGTGTTTTTGTTTCCGGGGGGGGGAGGGGCATTTTCTAGATTTGGGGGCCGATTTGGAAGGACTGAAAACCATGCCGTGGCATGGCGCTAGAAATAATGACGCCACCGCTGCAGCGGGAGCACGATTCGGAACGAGCAGAAGCGCGGAAATAAGGCCAGCGCTGTAGCGGGAGCACGCTTCGGAACGAGCGGTAGCCCGAAAATGATGCTAGCGCTTCAGCGAGAACAAGATTTTGACCACACAAAATAAGCGAAAACCCGTTTCCCGGGAAAACTGTTTAAAAAAACAATACGCGGATGGGGGCCGAATATTTCCCAGACATCACCAGAGAAGAGATGAGAAGAGTACTCATATTGTGGAATTGTGGAGAGGGGGAGTAACTAGGTAGGGGAACAAGCTAGGTAGGTGCACTCGCGCCGCTTCATCTGAAAATCCGTTCCCATCCCTACCCTCCCGTCCCATGGCCGCGATTTGTTGCTTACCCACGGACCAGCTGCTTTGTTGACGACGAGGGGGAGGGGTGAGGGGGTGATGGTGTGGGAGGTGGTTGGAGGACTGGGGGGGGGGGTGGGGGCGGGCAGGGGAGGGGAGGGAGGGGGAAGGAGCGCGGAGGTGGGAGGAGGAGGAGGAGGAGGAGGTAGGGAGGAAGGAGGAGGAGGAGGAGGAGGAGGAGGAGGAGGAGGAGGAGGAGGAGGAGGAGGAGGAGGAGGAGGAGGAGGGGGAGGAGGAGGAGGAGGAGGAGGAGGAGGAGGGAGGGGAGGGGAGGGGGGACGGACGGGGGAGCGGGCGAGAAGGGGGGAAATCTCTCCCTCCAAGCCTGGGCACGGGCGCTCTCGAGCCTGGGCGGGAGGAGGTGGCAACCGTGGCGGCGAGGATCGCTCACATGGCAAAACACTGCTACATGATCCTCGCCCCCACCCTGTGTCCTCCTCCCCACTCGTCCTCTTCGTCACCATCATCATGAGCAGCATCATCGCCGCAGTCACATTAGTCACTACAACCACCATCATCATTCATCACCATCACCGACACCATCACCGACATCATCACAATCATCATCACCATCTTCGTCATCATCAGCGTCATCATCAGCAACATCGCCACCGCCATCGACGTCCTCGCCATCGTCGTCGTAATCGTAGTTAGGAGCAGCATCGGCATCATCAGAGAGGTCGTCATCATCAGCAGCACCCTCAGCAGCAGCATCATCACCATGAGCATCATCATCATCGCCACTCACAACTCACAACTCACCACCATCACCGTCATCATTAATATCACCACTACCATCACCATCACTATCATCATCCCCATCGTCAGCCTCATCACCAACACCATCACCGTCATCAGCACCATCAGCATCATCATCATCAGCATCATCATCATCCCCATCAGCATTATCATCATCATCACCAGCAGCAGCATCCTCAAAATCAGAATCAACATCAGCATCATCCTCATCATCAGCCTCATCACCATCACCATCATCATCATCAGCAGCAACATCATCAACATCATCCTCATAACCATCCGCCATCCTCATCATCAACACCATAATCAGCAGCATCATCAGCAGCATCATCAGCATCATCACCATTATCATCGCCAACATCACCGCCATCATCAGCACCATCACCAATCACCATCACCATCAGCATCACCATCTTCGTCATCATCATCAGCATCACCACCACCATCATCATTGTCATCACCAGTAGCATCATCAACATCATCACCACCACCATCATCAGCATCATCAGCATCGCCAGTATCATCATCATCAACAACACCAGCATCATCAACATCATCATCATAACAATCGCCGTCAACATCCTCACCATCATCAACATCATCAGCATCATCATCATCAGCATCATCACAATCATCAACATCCTTATATCATCAACAGCATCATCATTATCATTATCATCATCATCAGCATCATCATGATTAGCATCATCATCATCATCATCATCATCATCATCATCATCATCATCATCATCATCATCATCATCACGTTCAACATCATCATCACCATCATCATCCCCCCGTTTCCTACCTCCTCTGTTAGATGAGCTGTCATTCCGTGTGTCCCTCCGTCTCCTCGCCCTCTTCCTGGGCTGCTGCTGCAACACCATGGGCCCGCGCTTTCCGCCCAGACGTGAGTGCAGGATGTCAGGTGTCAGACAGGGTCTAGAAGCTGCAGCGCCACCACCGTGTTAGGCTCGAGTTATCAGCGGATATGCTCGGTGTACGAATAGCAGAACGGCTTCTCGTGTGCAGCGCACATGGAGTAGAGCCCGCTCTGGAGCACCATGTCGTCCAGTCCGTACGCCCATGGGCAGAGGCCGCTCAGCTCCTTCTTGAAGGGCTCCACCCAGGTGCAGAAGGTGGACTGGCCATACTTCTGCTGGCCCATGGGGCACGGCATGTCGTAAAAGAGCGGGTCCCTGGCGCGCATGTCGGTGTGGATGCCGTCGCACTGGAGCCCGCGGTAGCGATTGGTGATCTGCCACCGCTTCGTGGTGGGGACCTCGATGCCCTGCTCGTAGAGCGACTTCTCGGTGGCAAACTGATTCGAGCCGATTTGCCCAGTGGCCTTTCGCTGACTGATGGAGTTGAAGGTAATAGGAATCTTGGTGCGCTCATCGCGTCCCTCGCTGTGGGTCGTCGTGGCGGCCATGAGGGCCACGTCCTGGTATGCTGGGGAGTCCCAAACCAGCTTGACCTTCATCTCGTGGAGCTTGTTGATGGCTTGCAACAGGGCGGTCATCCTATGCCTTGCTGGAATGAAGTTCGACCCAACCCAGACGACAACGTTGTCCCCCTCCGCAGGGTCCACGCCGATCAACTCCATCTCCTTCTTGATCTCCTTCACAGGCAGCGTGTGGCTGACCCAGCCGTCCCAGTGGATGAAGGATCCAATGCCCTCCTCCGTGCAGCCGTGGGGCAGCTGCGCCGTTGCTGGGGCCTGCTCGGCCTTGGAATAGAAGCGCGCATTGCTCCCCGTCCTTGACTTGGACTTGTCGTTCCTCCGCACCGTCCCCATCATGTCAGAAATATCCTGCTCGGTGTGGTTTGACCACCAGATTTCAGGGCACTTGTTAAGGCGGTGGAACGCATTGCGCAGGGACATCATCTGCGAATCACCCACAAAGATATGTTTCGTCCTGCCGTGGGAGCGCTCCCTCATGCAGTCCGACTTCAGCAGGGCTGCGTCCGGGCCGGTCATCTGCAAGGCGTCCTCGGCGTATCCGGCCCCCTGCAACTGCGCGAAGTACGTCGCCGCGTCCCAGTTGGCCGCCTGGAGCATCTTGAACGTGGGGATCGGGAAACCCTTTGCGCCAATATCCAGGCAGAACTCCTCGCCGAACTGCGACTTGCCATAACTGCCCGCGTCGTCGGAGTCGCCCGAATCGGAGAAGCCCAGCTCCTGGACTTGGGGATCCCCAAGCCGTGTGGTGACGGCCCGTGCGGTGACCTCGGAACCCCAAGAGACCTCACCGCACGGTCCGTCACCGCACGGTCTTGGGACCCTGGAGGCCCCTGTCGCCCGATACACCCTCGGAAAGGGGCTCGGGTCCCAAAACCGTGCGGTGACCCCGAATCCCCACCGACTCACCACTCGGTCCTCCTCCTCCTCCTCCTCCTCCTCCTCCTCCTCCTCCTATCCCCGCCTCCTTTTCCAAGCCGCATCTCCTTTCCTCCTCCTCCTCCTCCCCTTCCTCCTCCTCCTCCTCCTCCTCCTCCTCCTCCTCCTCCTCCTCCTCCTCCTCCTCCTCCTCCTCCTGTGGTCACCACCCCGTTTGGGGGGCCCCTGGCGGGCGAACGGAGGCATGCCGACGCAGGTGCTCCCCCGACTCCTCCCCCTTTGCCGTCGCTCGGACGCCCATGCCCCGTGTCGTGCTTCGGCTTCGTGCGTTTGTTTTTTTTGTTTTTCTTTTGCCCGATGGCCCAGGATGGTCGAGGAGGGCGGAGGAGGAGGAGGAGGAGGAGGAAAGGAGGAGGATGAGGAGGGCGGAGGAGAGGAGGAGGAGGAGGAGCAGGAGGAGAGCAGGAGGAAGGAGGACGAAGAAAAACATGAGGAGGGGGGGAGGAGAGGAAAGGGTCGGAGGGAGGAGGATGAGAGGAGGAAGAGGCAGGAGGCGTAGGAGCAGGAGGAGGTCTGAGGAGGAGAGAAACTGAGGAGGAGGAGGAGGAGGAGGAGGAGGAGGAGGAGGAGCAGGAGGAGGAGGAGGAGGAGAGAAACATGAGGAGGAGGAGGAGAAGCAGGAGGAGGAGGAGGAGGAGGAGGAGAGAAAAATTGCACGCGTCCGAGCGATGCCGAGGCCGCTCCAGCCGTGGCGCCGGGGGCTCCCCGGGATGCCCACGAGGCGAAGGAGAGGAGCAGACGTGGGCATCGGCAGCGGTGTTGTCGTCGTCCTCGCCGTCGTCCTCGTGGTCGACCTCGTCCTCCTCGGCCTCGTCCTCGTCCTCGTCGTCGTCGTCGTCGTCCTCGATCTCCTCGCCCTGCCCAAAGATCCGACGTCTTGTCTCTTCGAGGCGGGATGCCTGAAGTCCCGACCCTTTCCCCAGGCCCGATCTTTGGCCCTCGGCCTCTCTTGGCGCTCCTGGGGCCCGGCGGGGGCCCCTAAAGAAAGCCGAGAACAAAGAAACACCTCCGTCTCGATGTCTTGATACGTCGGATGTCTGGGTCGTCTTCGTCGTCGACGCCACCCTCGTCCCCGTCTTCGTCCTCGTCGTCGTCCTCGTCCTCGTCCTCGTCGTCGTCGTCGTTCTCGTCATCGTCGTCGTCCTCGCCGTCGCCGTCCTGGCCGTGGTCGTGGTCGATGTCGTCGTCGTCGTCGTCGTCGTCGTCGTCGTCGACGCCGTCGTCGTCGTCGTCGTCGTCGTCCTCGTCGTCGTCCTCGACGCCCCCGTCGTGGTCGTCGTCGACGTTGAGGTTGTCGTCGCCGTCGTCCTCGTCGTCGGGCTCGTCGTCGCCGACGTGGCCCACGTCGTCGTTATCGCCGTTGTCGTCGTTTTCGCCGTCGCCGCCGCAGTTTTCGCCGACGTCGTCGTCGCCGTCGTCGTCGTCGTCGTCGTCGTCGTCGTCGTAGAACGTCGTCGTCGTGTTCGTCAGTGTCGTCGTCGTCGTCGTCGCCGCCGTCGTCGTCGTTGTCACCGTCGTCGACGTCGTCGTCGTCGTCAGCGAAGTCGTCGTCGTCGTCGTCGTCGTCGTCGTCGTCGTCGTCGTCGTCGTCGTCGTCGTCGTCACCGTCGTCATCTTCGTCGTCATCCTCGTCCTCATCCTCGCCGTCGTCTTTGTCCAACTTGCCGTCGTCGTCGTCTTCCTCGCCGTCGTCGTCGTCGCCGTCGTCGTCGTCCTCGCCTTCGTCGTCGTCGTCATCCTTGTCGTCGTCGTCATCATTGCTGTCGTCGTATTTGTCCAACTTGCCGTCGTCGTCAACCTCGCCGTCGTCGTCGTCGTCGACGTCGTCGTCGTCCTCGTCGCGGTCGTCGCCGCCGCCGCGCCGTCGTCGTCGCCGTCGTCCTCGCCGTCGTCGTCGTCGTCGTTGTCGTCGTCGTTCTTGTAGTCGCCATTGCCATCGTCGTCGCCGCCGTCGCAGCCGCCATCGTCGTCCAAGTCGTCGTCGTCGTCGTCACCGTCGTCGTCGTCGTCCCCACCGTCGTCGTCGTTGTCGCCGTCGCCGCCGTCGTCGTCCTCGCCGTCGTCGACACCGTCGTCATCGTCGTCGTCGTCGTCGTCGTCGTCATCGTTATCCTCGTCGTCGTCGTCTTCGCCGTCGCCGTCGTCGTCGTCGTCATCGCCCCTGCCGCCGGTGTCGTCGTCGTCTTCGTCTTCTTCCTCGTCTGTGTCCTCGTCCTCGTCCTCGTCGTCTAAGTTTTCGTCGTCGTCGCCGTCGCCGCCGTCGTCGTAACCGTGGTCGTGGTCGTGGTCGTGGTGGTGGTGGTGGTGGTGGTGGTCGTCGTCTTCGTCGTCGTCCTCGACGTCGTCGTCGTGGACGTCGTCGACGTCACCGATGTCGTCGTCTTCGTCGGCGTCGTTGTCGTCGACGTGGTCCTCGTCGTCGTCGTCCTCGCCGTCGTCGTCGTCTTCGCCGTCGTCATCGTCGTCGAAGTCGTCGCCGTCGTCTTCGTGGACGTCATCGTCGTCGCCGACGTCGTGACTGTCGTCGACATCCCCGTCCTCGTCCTTGTCGTCGTCGTCCTCGTCCTCACCGTCGTCTTTGTCCTCCTTGTCGTCGTCGTCATCGTCCTCGCCGTCGTCGTCGCCCTCACTTTCGTCCCCGCTGTCGTCTCGTCGTCGTCGCCGCCCTCGTCCTCTTGGTTGTCGTCGTCGTCGTCGTCGCCGTTGTCGTCGTCGTCATGGTCGTCGTCGTCATCTTCGTCGTCGTCGCACATTGTCGTCGCCGTCGCCGCCGTCGTCGTCGTCGTTGCCATCGTCGCCGTCCCCGCCGCCGTCATCATCGTCGCCGCGGTCGTCGTCCTCGCCGTCGTCGATGCCGTCGTCGTCGTCGTCGTCGTTGTCCTCGTCGACGCCGTCGTCGTCGTCGTCCTAGTTGTCATCGTCCCCGCCGTCGACGTCGTCATCGTCGTCATCGCCGCCGCCGCCGCCAGTGCCGTCGTCGCCGCCACCGTCGTCCTCGACGTCGTCGTCGTCGTTCTCGTCGTCGTCATCGTCGTCGGCGTCGCTGTCGTCGCCACCGTCGTCGTCGCCGTCGTCGTTGTCGTCGTCGTCGTCCTCGCCGTCGTCGCCAGCGGCGTCGCCGGCGTCGTCGTGGCCGTCGTCGTCACCGACGTCGTCGTCGTCGTCGCTGTCCCCGCGGTCGACATCGTCGTCGTCCTCGTCGTCGTCGTCGTCGTCTTCGTCGCCGTCGTCTTCGTCCTTGGCGTCGTCGTCGCCGCCGCCGTCATCGTCGTCGCGTCGTCGTCGCCGCCTCGCCGTCCTCGCCGCTGGCGTCGCTTCCGGCGTCGTCATCGTCGTCGTTGTCCTCGCCGTCGTCGTCGTCGTCGTCGCCGTCGTCGTCGCCCTCGCCGTCGCCGTCGCCGTCGCCGTCGTCGTTGTCGTCATCGCCGTCGCCGCGGCCAACGCCACCGCCCTTCTCGTCGCCGTCGTCCTCGTCGTCGTCGTCATCCTCGCCGTGGTCGTCCTCGACATCGTCGTCGTCGTCGTCGATGCCGTCGTCGCCGTCGCCAACGTCGCCGCTGGCGTCGTCGTCGTGGTCGTCGTCCTCGTCGTCGTCGCCGCCGTCGTCCTCGCTATCGTCGTCGTCGTCGCAAGCATCGTCATCGCCGCCGTCGTCCTCGTCGTCATCGCCGTTGTCGTCGTCGTCGCTTTCGTCGTCGACGACGTTGTCCTCCTCGTCGTCGACCTCTTGGTCGTCGTCGTCGTCTTTTCGGTCGTCGTCGTCGCCGCCGCCACCGCGGTCATCGCGACCATCGTGGTCGTCGTCGCAGAATGCGTCGTCGTCATCGTCGTTGTCGTCTTCGTCCTCGTCGTCGTCGTCGTCGTTGCTGCCGCCGTCGGCCGTCGTCGTCGTCGTCGTCGGCATCGTCGTCGTGGCCGCCGCCGCCGCCATCGTCGTCGTCGAGGTTGTCGTCGCCGTCGTCGTTGTCGTTGTCGTCGTCTTCGTCATCGTCGTCGTCGTCAACGCCGTCCTCCTCGCCTTTGTCGTCATCGTCGTGGCCACCGTCTTCGCCGTCGTCGTCGTCGTCGCCGCCGTCGTCGTCATCATCCTCGCAGTCGTCGTTTTCGTCGTCGTTTTCATCACCTCCATCGTCGCCGCCGCCGTCGTCGTCGTCGTAGTTGTCGTCGTCCCCGCCGTCGTCGTAGCCGTCGTCGTCGCCGCCGTCGTCGTCCTCGCCGTCGTCGACGCCGTCGTCGTCGTCGTCGTCGTCATCGTTGTCTTCGTTGTCGTCGCCGTCGTCGTCATCGTCGTCGTCCTCGTCATCGCCGCCGCCGCCGCCGCCGGTGTCGTCGACGTCGTCGTCCTCGTCTGGTCGTTGTCCTCGTCGTCGCCGTCGTCGTCGCCGTTGTCATCGTTGTCTTCGTTGTTGTCGCCGTCATCGTCGTCGTCGTCGTCGTCCACGTCATCGCCGCCGCCGCCGGTGTCGTCGACGTCGTCGTCCTCGTCTGGTCCTTGTCCTCGTCGTCGTCGCCGTCGTCGTCGTCGTCCTCGCCGTCGGCGTCGTTGACGTTACCGCCGCCGCGTTCGTCGTCATCCTCGTCACCGTCGCTGCCGTCGCTGGGGCCGTGAACGTTGTCGTTGTCGCCGACGTCGTCGTCGTCGTCGTCGTCGCCGCCGTCGTCGTGATCGTCGTCGTCGTTTTCATCGCCGCCGTCATCGTTGTCGTCGTGGCCGTCGCTGGCGTCGTCGTTGTCGTCGACGGCCGCCGTTGCCGCCGCCATCGTCGACGTCGTCGTCGGCGTCGGCGTCGTCGTCGCCGTCGTCGCCGTCGCCGTTGTCGTCGGCTTCGCCGACGTCGTTTTCGCCGTCGTCGTCGCCGTCGTCGTCGTCGTCGTCGTCGAGGTTGTCGTCGCCCTCGTCGTTGTTGTCGTCATCGCCGTCGTTGTTGTCGTCGTCGCCGTCATCGTCGTCGTCGTCGCCGCCTCCGCCTCGTCGTCGTCGTCGTCGCTGTCGTCGTCGTCGTCATCGTCCTCGCCGTCGTCGTCGTCGTCGTCGCCGTCGTCGTCGTCGTGGTCGCGGTCGTCGTCGTCGTCGTCGTCGACGTCGTCGTTGCCGCCGTCGTCTTCGTCGTCATCCTCGTCGTCCTCTTGGTCGTCGACATCGTTGTCGTCGTCGTTTTCATCGCCGCCGTCATCGCCGCCGTCGCCGTCGACATCGTCGTCGTCGTTGCCAACATCGTCTTCTTCGTTGTTGTCGGCGTCTTCACCGCCGTCATCGTCATCGTCGTCGCCGCCGACGTCGACGTAGTTGTCGCCGTCCCCGCCGACGTCGTCGTCGTCGCCGTCGTCGTCGTCGTCGTCGTCACTGTCGCCGTCGTCGTAGTAGTCGTAGACGTCGGCATCGTCGTCGACGCCACCACCGCCGTTATTTCCGCCGCCGTCGTCGTCGTCATCGCCATCGTCGTCGCCGCCGTCGCCGTCGTCGTCGTTGCCGAGGTCGTCGTCTTCGTCGTCGTCGTCGTCGTTGTCGGCGTCTTCGCCGCAGTCATCATCATCGTCGTCGTTGTCGTCGTCGCCGCCGCCGCCGTCGTCGTCGCCGCCGTCCTCCTCGTCGTCGGCGCCGTCGTCGTCCTCGCCGTCCTCGCCGTCGTCGTCGTCGTCGTCGTCGTCGTCGTCGTCGTCGTCGTCGTCGTCGACGTCGTCGTCACCGGTCCTCTGGCGTCTGGGCGCCGCCCTCGCGGCCGGCGCCGTGGCCGGCGCCGCGGCCGGAAGCGGAGAGCCCCGCGGCGAGGCCGAGCGCCGAGGCGCCGAGGAGGGAGCGCGCGAGCCCGGCCATCTGCTGGCGGAGCTCCCCGGGACTGCACGGTGTCCCCCGGGGCCCTGGGCGACCCGGGGAGGAGGAGGAGGAGGAGGAGGGAGGAGGGGGAGGAGGGGGGAGGAGGAGGAGTGGGCGGAGGGAGGAGGAGGAGGGGAGGAGGAGGAGGAGGAGGAGGAGGAGGAGGGAGGAGGAGGAGGAGGAGGCGGAGGGGGAGGAGGAGTGGGGAGGAGGAGGGGAGGAGGGGAGGGGAGGGGAGGGGGAGGAGGAGGTAGGAGGGAGGGGAGGAGGAGGAGGAGGAGGAGGAGAGGAAGGAGGAGGGGGAGGCGGAGGAGGAGGAGGAGGAGGAGGAGGAGGAGGGGGAGGTGGAGGAGGAGGAAGGGGGAGGAGGAGGGGGAGGAGGAGGGGAGGAGGAGGTAGGGGGAGGAGGAGGGGGAGGGGAGGAGGAGGAGGAGGGGGAGGAGGGGGAGGAGGGGGAGGAGGGGGAGGAGGAGGACGGGTCGCCAAAGCCCTTTGGAGAAACCCTCCAGTTGGACCCAGACATCTGACGTCTCGAAAAATTCGAGGTTCAGGTTTTTCATAGTTTTCGGCCCCTCGGGGCCCTCATCGGGCCTCGGGACAATCAAAAAAAAGGCTCGGGATGAAAAACTGGTCCCGGGTGGGAGAGAGGTCGGGGGCCTGCGCCTCTGGATGTCAGGGGACGCTTCCGGGCGCTTGTGCTCGTTGCTGGAATCTCTCCAACCTCGGAATGCGTCCCCGCAGCTGCGCCACGCCGAGAAACTTCGGGGAGGGCCTGGGTCGTTCCGAACGGCCGCCAGAGAGCCGAACCATGGCCCGAAAACCAGCCTCCCCTCGTCAAAGAAAAGCACTACGAGCCCCTCGCCCGGCCCCGGGGCCGTCAAGAAATGACTCGGGACGAAGAGCCACCCCCTGGGGTGCGGGGCCCGAACTTCTAGGGGGCACCTGTTGAACGAACAAGACGTCGCATGTCTGGGCCTTGGCGAAGCTCAAGGCACGGATGCGGAAACGGCAGCTATGATACACCACCGCCCCGGTCATCCACAACTGGGGGAGCTTTGCTCCAGACACGCACACACACACACACACACTCACACTCACACTCACACACATACACACACACACACACACACACACACACACACGCACACGCACAAGCTATTTTCGGTCGTCAGCGGGCAGGCGAACTCGCCATGCCGTCAACCAGCGCGCGCTGGGCGAGCGCGGGCAAAGCAGTCGGCCAGTCACGGGGCAGGGTCAAGCGGTAGCGGGGCCGGCAGGAGCCGAGGCGGCGGTCAAGGAACCCGCGCGACCGCAGGGCCGAAGCCGACGGGAACGGAGACGACCAGGGGCCAGCGAGACCAGGCAGGGGACGGCCGAGCAGAGCGACGGAGGAGCGAGGAACGAGGAGCGACCGCGGACCGCCGACGCGCGAGGCACGGGGTCCGACCCGCCGAGGGGGGGGGGCCCAGGGGAGGCAGGGAGGCACCGCGGCCGCCACGAGGGCGGGGCACGGCCCCGGGCAGGAGGAGCCAGGCCCGAGGAGGAGGGCGAGCGGGCAGGCGGGAGGCACACAGCACACGAGGCAGAGGCAGGGGGGGGGGGGCAGGGAAGCGCCGCGGAGGGAGGCCAGGGGGCCCGCCCGGCGGGAGCCTCGGGAGAGGGGGGGAGTGCCCCGGGAGGGGGGGGGGGATTCCCCCTCCCCCCCCCTTCACATCTTTTGGGGAACTCGAGCTTTTCGGGAAAGTTCAAGCATTTCTGGGACATCTCACTCGAACTTGTTGCGGTATTTCCAAAAAATGTGATCGCAAGAAAGTTTGAGATTTCGATCCTTGGGGGAAGGGCGGGGAGAGGACGGGGAACAACGACAGGAGCAGCACCGAGGGGGACGAGGGGGATGCAGAAGCGGCGGACGGCCCACCGCCCAAGGCGCACAGGCGGACGGCCCCCCCCCCCCGAGGGGAAAGGGAGGGGGACCGGCGGACGGCCCGCCGCCGAAGGCAAGAGGTGGAGCAGAGTGGGGGTGCCGCCCCGCCGGCGGCGCAGGTGGACCTTGGGCGAAGAATTAATGGTATCAAAAAACACAAATAATTGGAAATACAACTATCGGGGGGGAGGGAGAGGGAGGAGGGAGGGGGATGAGGGGGAGGGAGGAGGGAGGAGGGAGGGAGGACGGGAGGGAGGGAGGGAGGACGAGGAGGAGGAGGAGTGAGGCGGAGGAGGAGGAGGAGGAGGAGGAGGAGGAGGAGGAGGGATGAGGGAGGCGGAGGAGGAGGAGGAGGAGGAGGGGAGGAGGAGGAGGAGGAAGAGGAGGAGGAGGCGGGAGGAGGAGGAGGAGGAGGAGGAGGAGGAGGAGAGGATGAGGAGGGGGGATGAGGAGGAGGAGGGGTGAGGAGGAGGAGGAGGAGGAGGAGGAGGAGGAGGAGGAGGAGGAGGAGAAGGAGGAGGAGGAGGAGGAGGAGGAGGAGGAGGAGGCGGAGGAGGAGAGGCGAGGAGGAGGAGGAGGAGGAGGGAGGAGGAGGAGAGGAGGATGGAAGAGGAGGGGAGGAGGAAGAGGAGGAGAGGAGAGGGGGGAGGAGGAGGAGGAGGCAGGAGGAGGAGGAGGAGGAGGAGGAGGAGGAGGAGGAGGAGGAGGAGGAGAGGCGGAGAAGGAGGAGGAGGGAGGAGGGGGAGGAGGAGGAGGAGGAGGCGGAGGAGGAGGAGGAGGAGGCGGAGAGGAGGGAGGAGGAGACATAGAGGAGGTAGGCGAGGAGAGGCGGAGGAGGAGGAGGAGGAGGAGGAGGAGGAGCGAGGAGGAGGGGGAGGGGAGGAGGAGGAGGAGGAGGGAGGAGGAGGAGGAGGCGGAGGAGGAGGAGGAGGAGGAGGAGGGGGGGGAGGAGGAGAGGAGGAGGAGGAGGGAGGGGGAGGAGGGGGGGAGGGGGAGCAGAGGAGGAGGAGGGAGGAGGAGGAGGAGGAGGAGAGGGAGGAGGGAGGAGGAGGGGGAGGACGAGGAGGGGGCTCGCAACATCCGATGCCCTCGGCTGCACTTCGACGCCCTGCCGGGCGGAGAAGGGGGGAACGGCGGGGCGAAGAGGGGGCGACCACGACGACGACAAGGAGAATGACGGGGAGGGGAGGAGGCGAGAAGCGCGCTCGCTACATCTGACATCCTGCGGCCGTTCACGCCCTGCCAAGCGCGCGCTGTGAAGGAGGCGGAGCCTCCGGAGGGGAGGCCCAGGGGAGGAAGCGGGGCGTCGTGGGCGTCGCCCCGCCAGCACCCCAGGGAGGAGGGGGGAACGGCGAGGGGAGGAGGGGACGGCGCGAACGGCGCGCACGCTGCACGTAGCCGCAGACATGCTGAAACGCCGCAGAGGCCGACCTGCAGTAGGTAAACTCACGCAGTGAACGTACGCAGGGAAGTCTGGGCATATACGAATGTGCACATTGACCCTGAGGTTGCGGCCGTGTCGGTTACGAACGAAGGTACCAGCTAATGCCAATGAGGCGAAGGACGAAAGCAGACACGAGAATCTGTTTGGGTCAAGTCTGGGATGGCGCTCAAGCCTACGCAGGGCAACCATTCCCGCCGCTACAGGCCCCCAGAGGTTGAACGGCAACGCGCGCGTGCGGAAAACAACATGCCTTGGGCTAAGCCTGGGGCGGCGCGCAGCCACTTCCGCCACTGCCGGCCCCCGAGAACTTCTGACAGCCGAGTGCCCTGTGAGAGGCCAAGTCAACAGGCACAGAAGCACTGAGGCAAGAGAAATGATGCGAGCGACCCCCCATCAAAACAACGAGACATGGAAGCTGCACACGCTACTTTCACAGAGGAGGCCCACTCCCTGCGAATCCGAACCATAACAAGAAGTGGCAAGATGCTATGCAAAAACAAGGTCAGCGACTGGGCAGCGGACGGGCTGGAACGCGAAAAGCAAGCCCATGCACACGAAAACCCCGATGGTGTTGATAAGCGACACGGAATCAGCCCCGCCCTTCGCCAACGAAGCGATGAGCAGGCCAGTATTATTGGCGCCACTGGCCAGCGGCGACGGCGATGTCCATCCATGACTGCGTCTTCCTCGCCTCCTCGACCTTCCACCGCAGAGTGCTCCCGACAATCTGCGCGTTGAAGCCCCGCACCGCTTCGCTCAGGCTGCAGATCGCCCCGTCGAAGCTCCCGAGGACGGCAGACTCGCGGAAAACTCCGCCAAGATGAATCGCACCTCCACGTCATAGCGGAAGTGCGGCTCCGAACCCACACACGCACACACACACACACACACACACACACACACACACTCCTCGGTCGTGGCGGGCGGGCGCAGCGCCACGCCGTCCAGCCCGCGCGCGGAGAGCCGCGCGCACGCCGAGCCGGCAGAGGGAGGAAGGGAAAGGGAGAAGCGGTCGTCTCCTCACGGGGCAGTGGCCGTGGGCGGCGCAGGGGCGCTGGGGCAGCGGGCAGCGGGAAGGCGCTGGGGCGGGCGGGAGGGCGGCAGCGGGAGGGGCGGGGCGCAAGGCGAGCCAGGAGCGGTCAGCGGGCAACATATATATATGTATATATATATATGTATATATATATGTATATAATACATATGTATATATATACAAGGCTGCATAGGCGCTTCGCGCCATGCATCTTGTTCCTTGAAGCTTTGGATCGGCTGGCTTCTCGCGGTATCCTGCGGTCCCTTCGAGGGGTCCTCGCGGGCTCGCATTGCGAATGTGCAGAGGTTGCGGAGGGGGAGTGGGAGAACTTGGTGTTCGAAGCAACGAAAGGGGCAAATGGAATGCAAGAAAAGGACTTCAGTGGGAAACTTATCCAATCCCGGGTTCGCAACCAAATTTCTTAAAAAAGGGTGCGAACCCAGGATTCTGACCAGAATGCAGCTGTATACTGCAAAGTATGAAGCAGGGGGGGCGCGGGGAGGCGTGCTGACGCGACTTTGGGACAGGCAGGCTCTACGAACGTTATGTATGGGCTTCGTTCGGAAGACGTGTCGAAACGCTCCCTGGCACGTCTGTAACCCGGTGTGGAGCGCTCAAACGTTCCGACTTGGGCCCCGTGGTATCGCTTGGAGGCTTCTTGAGCACTCTTGGGTGGTCTTGTGGGCATCTGCGGCTGTCTCGGAGGTCAGGAGAGCCGAACATGCGAGAAAGAAAAAAAAACCTT